GAGAGAGAGAGAGAGAGAGAGAGAGAGAGAGAGAGAGAGAGAGAGAGAGAGAGAGAGATGAGCACGTCGTGTGCCGTTGCGTGTCGTCGCCTGCCGTAGCGTGTCGTCGCGTGCTTTAGCGGCCGGGACGATTGAGAAGCCCGCCCCTTCGAAGGGTGATTTCAGGGCTCTGCGGTCGGGACGATTGAGAAGCCCGCCCCTTCGAAGGGCGATTTCAGGGCTGCGGCCGGGACGATTGAGAAGCCCGCCCCTTCGAAGGGCGATTTCAGGGCTGGGCGCGGGCACGCGTTCAGAAGGGCCGTTTGGGCGGGCCGAACCGGTATCGCACGGCCCAGATTGCGGGCCGGTCACCACCTGCGGACGGCCCAGATAGCAGGCCGATGAGAAAAGTTTCTCATCGGCCTGCGATCTGGGCCGTTCGCGGGTGGTGACCGGGCCGCAACCTGGGCCGGTAGATATGACGTTAGCGATTCTTATAGTATTGTAGATTCACAGTTATCTCTAACGTTGGGCGGCTATGGCCGCTCTCTACTACTATGGACACTCTCTCTCCTTCACAGCCCACTTCGACTTGGGCCTCTGCAGACCAGCTCGCACAAGACGCCTGGGCAGCGCTTCCGCATGGCTCACGCAGGAATGAATGAATGGCTGGACGCTGCCTCTTGATTTATACTTCTGTTGGTTGTTGGTTGCTGGTCTGCCCCCTTTCCACCGGGCCGTTGTTGCACACAGTCCCACATGGTACTTGCTGACTGGACTAAGTGAGACGGGGACTGGGTACCGCTGACTAAGCAAGTTTGGACTCACCACTTGCCCACTTGCCTCTGGTCTGCTGTGAACAACGTTCGAAAGGCCACTTCCGGACCTTCCGGAAGCCTGCAGAGTTGGCCTTTCGGAACTGTAGCAACTACAACCTTGACCTTTCAGAATTACTACAGCTATGGCCTCTTACACAACTATGACCCCTGCTCGACAGACCTACGGTTCAAGACCCGACAGCTACATCGACATACGACAGACAACAACGGACTCCTAAAACGCAGGTCACGGGTTCAAACACACAGGGGTACTGTACACGGTTGAAGTGAGGTCCAGGGATCGAGCCCTGGGATCTGCATCTGCTACTGCAAAGGTGAAAACCGTTTCAGTAATATTTTTGAACAATTTTGGGGATAAGGGGATTGTAAGAGGAAGAAAAAAGCGATGGATCGTGGGCTCTGTGCAGTTGGCTGTCGGCTGGGAGTGATAGGTGGTGGGTTGGGTGCAGGTCGGCTGTGGGCTGATTGCAGTACTAAGTGGACTTGGTGTGGTACTCTGTGCAGTGGGACCTGATCCAATGGCGTTCTCAAGAAGTAGCCCCCTCTTTCCTTCGTGGTGCAATCTTAGTTGTCCCACACCACGTCGAACAAGTTTCCAGCCCTAAAGTATAATAAGGCACCGAGCCCACATAGTACTGCACCCAACCCACATGGTGCTGCAACAAGCCCACAACCCATTGGACCCAGCCCACGTGCAACACACCCCGTCCACATAGCACCACAAAGTACCACAGCTAACCCACGAAGTATCACACCTAACCCACAAAGTGCCACGGCTAACCCACAAAGTATCACACCCAATCAACATAGTACCACAGCCAAGCCACATAGTACCACACCCAACCCACATAACACCAGCGAATCCACAGTATTTACACCCACCCCACATTGGACTGCACCCAGCTCGGAGTACCACAACGGCCCGCATAGTACCACAAGCGGCACAGACAGTACGACACCCAACCCTTATAGCACCACGCCCAGTTGACGTATTACCCCACGCGACATACATACTAGCACACCAAGCCCACAGCCCACCCCAGTCCACAACCCATGAAACCCAGCCCAGAGCACACTGCACATAATGCAAAGCCCACAATCCACGGCGGTTTTGTTCAATTTTGCCTCCTGAAATCTCCTTACCCCACGATGCTTGCTATGGGATGTCCCTCATCCAATGGCTGATTGAAGAAGCAGCCCCCTTTATCCCTCCGTGATGGAATCTTAGTTGGGTCGCATGACGTCCCAAAGCTTGCACAGGCCAGTGAAGAGCTTCCCGCGTGGGAAGTGGGGGTGGTATGGGTGAGGGTCGGGGTCAGGGTGAGGGTGAGGGTGAGGGTGAGGGTGAGGGTGGAGGGAGAAAGAGGCCCAAACTGAGATGCCGCATAAAGGATCAAAGGTTAGTTGAACTTAGTTCTCTTTAACATTGACTCAACTTTCATTCATTTTTCAGTTTCAGGCTTTGGCGTTTTTGTTGCATGGCCTTCGCAATTGGCAGTTTGGCAGAGAGGAAAAAGGAAACTGCAAACAAGGAGAGACAGGAGAGGCACAGAGAGGAAATAGACGCGGAGTAGAGGCCGATACACACCTGAGAGGTATTCGTGGCAGTAGAAGCCATGTTAAAAGGATGGGTCACCAAAGGTTGGGCTCTGGAATGACTGCTCCTATGGCCTGAGGAAACTCCAGATTGTCCTGCCATGGTTTTAACTACAGCATGGTACGGACCTGCAGAGGGATTTCAGAAAATGACAGTTGCTTTTCACTTTCAATTCTCCTTGCTTCACTAAGTTCACTTGTAATTGTTCCACCTTAGGGCATCACCACATCACTCTCGAAATGCACAAAATGAGAATGAACTTCCCGCTAGAACACGGCCAGATGCACCCACCACATTTTTGTCTTTTTCACATTTTGGGAGTGGTGTGGCGAGGCCCTTATAACGGAAAACAGGAAACACAAAACCATGTGGCAACGGAAAACAGGAAACACAAAACCATGTGGCAGAGGGAGAAATTCTCTTCCCCCCCCGCCCCCCCCAAAAAAAACAGGTCCTTATGGTCCTGGCTCCATATCCATTCTGGGAAGCGTCAGTCCGGTTCCTGTCCCCTGGCAAGTCGAGAATTCGAGTACATAGTGAACACTCTCATGCTTCCTTCCGTCTGGCCAAAGGAACCCTGACCAGCATTGATTGCTCCTATGTAGGAGGATTGGCTGTCAGCTTGCCCATCCGCTTTTCCTCTCAGAATCCATTGTGATTCTGTCATATAGTTCGTGTGCAACAAGAAAGGAGGAGAGTTGTCTGTATTGTTGAGACTAAGGTCTCAGTTTGCCCCACACTGGGTCGTCATCCTTGCTGTCAATCTGTTATCTGCCACTGCTGCAATCTTTCCCTGTAGGAGCCAGTCCCTCATGAAGGACCGTCTCTTGGTGGCTAGCCTTTCTGGTCTGACTTTCGTTGTTGATGTAACCTCCCTCCATCTGCACCGAATCTCAGTTTCCATCATACTCAACAGTAGAGCCCACATTTCTTCCCTTTCCACCTCAGTTCTCTCGATAGTCTTGGTCCTTCACCATTATCCAGAAGAGACCTCTCATGTTCGGAGGGGAGTTGATAGGGGCTAGATTTCTGATACTGTCCAGAGCCATCTGGGTCCATGGAATGAATTGTCTTATTAGGATCTTGATAATCCATTTCACCTGCTGTGCTTCCATTTCATCTGCAGTGTTATGGATTCCTGTTTGGGATCTACTAGCCCAAGCAGCCCCTCCTGCGGTTTCCTGATGATGTGGTTCCAGGCTACCCAGTTGATGCATGTGGTCCTGTTGGGGTCTCCGGTCCATAGATAGCATCTGACCCTGTTTTTAAACGTTTTGAGGTCATCATCGGGGGAGGACCAGATGGATGCCATGTACCACAGTATGGAGAAGATTGTCGTTAATTAGTAGTGCGCTTCCGATTAACGAGGCCTGAGCCTTTTTGCACGGGGCTATGCGAGTGATTGCCCTGGTGACTAGGTTATGGCCCATGCCTGGCCACACTCCATCCTTTTTTTACCATGATACCAAGGAATCTTAGTGCCTGATCTCCTGTAGACCATGACATGGGTGTGGCTGTATCGGTCGGTTGGGGTGGGGTCCTGTCTGCTAGCCACCATCCTTCGGTTTTGCTTCAATTGACCTACATTTTCGATGCTGGTCTGAAGGCTTCCATTGCTCTTACGAGGGCTTGGAATGAGCAGTTGTTGGCACGAATGAGGACAGTGAGGTCGTCGGCAAACATTAGCGCAGTGGGTAGGGCGAAGTCGTATAATGGATTGAAGTTGCGTTCAGTAAGGCGGTCGATGGAAGGGTCTTTCCGAAGGAAGGAGGCTATGGCTTCCATAATAAAGAGAAAGATGGGTGGGGCCAATTGGTCGCCTTGTCTAACGGATCTCCAGATCAGGTAGGTTTCTGAAAGAATCCTATTCACCTGAACTCTGCCTGATTCATCTGAATAGAGGACTCTAACCCATTTTATGAACTTGGGGCCTACCCCCATTTTCTCCATGCAGGCATCCAGGAAGTTCCGGTTGACCTGATCGTAGGCGTTTTCGAAAAGAAAAGAAAAAACAGGATTGCTACCTTCATTCGTTTTTCTGTGATCTTCTTCACTGCCTCATTTAGTGTCATCACGTTATCTAGTATGTACCGGCCAAGGATAAAACCTGCTTGGTCGATATGAAAGCATTTGTTTGTTAGCTTTGTGATTTTGTTTGCAAGAGCCTTAGCGAGGATTTTGTAGGGAGTGGTGAGTAGTGATATGGGTCAGGTCTTCTTTGTCTCCCTTTTTGTGCAGAACAGATAACACGATGGTGCTTAAATCCTTGCCTAGGCCTCCCTTTAGTCTGCTGTCGTTGAAGAACTCGAGCAGGTCCTCTCCTAGAGTTGGCCAAAAGTAGCTACAAATTTCTTTCAAGAGGCCATCAATGCCCGAAGCTTTGTCTTTCCCATCTGGTTCAGGGCTACGTGTAGCTCAGCTAGGGTTAAGGGTTTGTCCAGGTCTTCTGCTTAAGCTGTCGAGATTGTTTTGTCTAGGTACGACATCATGTGTTGACAAGCTTTTAGGTTCGGTGTTTGTTAGCTTTGTAATTTTGTTTGCAAGAGCCTTAGCGAGGATTTGTAGGGAGTGGTGAGTAGTGATATGGGTCAGGTCTTCTTTGTCTCCCTTTTTGTGCAGCAGAGATACCACGATCGTGCTTAGTTCCTTGCCTAGGCCTCCCTTTAGTCTGTTGTCGTTGAAGAACTCGAGCAGGTCCTCTCCTAGAGTTGGCCAGAAGTAGCTCCAAATTTTTTTCAAGAGGCCATCAATGCCCGAAGCTTTGTCATTTCCCATCTGGTTCAGGGCTACATGTAGCTCAGCTAGGGTTAAGGGTTTGTCCAGGTCTCTGCTTGAGCTGTCGAGATTGTTTTGTCTAGGTACGACATCATGTGTTGACGGGCTTTTAGGTTCGGTGTGGTCGGGGGTAAAGGTGTCCTTGACTGGTATAGATCTGTGTAGATTGTCCTGGCTATCCGAACCATCTTTGTACCTGCTGTTTTGACATTCCCTTGATCTGTTGGGTCTTAGAGGGCCTCTATCATGTTATTCCCGGCGTCCGCTTTGATTCTGGAGAAGAAGAATTTAATCATGGTTTCGTTGAGTGTGTAGTCTGTCATCCTGGTGCGTATTTGCAGTCCTCTCAAGTCCCATCTTCTCCATTCCTTTAGTTCCTCTTCAGTCTCAGCTAGTAGAACCTGGTAGAATTCGCTGGAGGGGTCCTCTGCTAGGTTAGCTTCTACGACTGAGATGGCAAATTGGAGTTCTATCCTTCTCCTTTTTATCCCTACATATATAACTATCGCTAATTTTCAGCCTGTGACAAGCAGACGATCGGGGCCCTGCGATTTTACACTCCGCGACGGTCCCGATCGTCTGCTGATCGTTTGCTCTTAGAAGTTGAACCGTCGCGGGCGGCTCCGCGCCAGGGCCTGTACTGGACCATAGAAACTACTTTCTGGGGCATGGACACTGCCGACTTGAGGGCAGGTGTACTAGACGGCGAGTTAGAGTCGACGCCTGTTCGACACTCTAAGCTACTCGATTGAGCTACTCTACGCTACTTTGTGCTACTCTAGAGTCGACGCCGGCACTACTCTAGAGTCGACTTCACTCACGCACGCGCACCCACACACACGCATGCACGCACGCACACACGAACGCACACACGCACTCACGCACACACACACACACACACACACACACACACACACACACACACACACACACACACAAACGTGGTGAGTCCTTGGCCATCAATAAAGTTCGTCTTGGGCGGACTGTCGGGGTTCAACCTCTTGATGAGTCGGTGGAAGTCCGACGAAACAGTCTGGCTGAGTCATTTTGTGAGTTCTGTATAGCGAGCATAACAACACTCACACATACTCAGACTCACCCACACAGAACACCCACACCCACACACACGCACACACACGCACACACACACACACACACACACACACACACACACACTCACACACACTCACACACACTCACCTAGGACACACCATCTCTACATCCTGAATGTTGGACGCTGAGGCTTGAGCTGTGCAGCGTCAAGGCTTTCGAACGACCACACCTTGATGACTGACGGTGAGTTTGTTATTCGTGTCTGTTGCTGTCGTTTTTGGTGGTCTTGGAACTATGAGTCAGAGAGAGTGCGTATGTGTCCGCGTGTGTGTGTGTGTGTGTGTGTGTGTAAGAGAGAGAGAGAGAGAGAGAGAGAGAGAGAGAGAGAGAGAGAGAGAGAGAGAGAGAGAG